AGTCCTGCTTCATCCCTGAGGATATTTGAGTCATCCTGATGCTCCCATGATCTTGCCAAGCTAAGTAAAACTTATAACTTCTTGATATTTAACCAGTGCATACTCCGGAGAACAATTTCTGTTTAACGTGATAAAGAATTTGTATTGGTGAACTGTAAAGCCATTATAAGAACATAACAAATTTTTATTGTTAAATTTTCAAAACTTAATATTTTATAACTTGTTTAATAATTTGTTTATATAAGAAACTTAAATTGAGTATTACTGTATTAGCACATGATCTTGAATGTATGAATATCTTTAAATCAAAAGAAAAATCTTTGAGGAAATATAGCTATGTATTTATTAACTTGAATGTGACTAGTATTAAGTTTTAACCATGATGAAATAAGATCTGAATCTTTTTTGACAATATAATATCTTGTTCACTGCGGTTTTAGACATTTTCATTTATCTCCCTCAAATCACAGTATCACGGCGCCCTGATTATAAATTAAATAAGTTTCGAGTCTCATGTAAGCCCTGAAATAGCCGGTGATAACAAAAATTGTTACAAAGTAAATAAATTTTAATTATTTTTATGTTCGTTTTAGATTTCCATCCAACGATAATTTAAAACAGCAATGGATTTCAAAACTTAATAGACCGGATTGGACACCATAGAAGAAGAAGATATTTCCATTTTAAATGAATCTTCTGTGCAAAAAATTAATATTAGTGTCGATTCTGGTATGTTACATGTTTTAAAATAATAAAAATTATACCTTAAAAATTTTAAAATCGGTCAAATTTGTTAACCTTTATTTTATTTATTTACCTACATAATTCATTTTTTTGAAGCTTCAAGTTCTGAATACGTCCCATTATATACAAAACTTTTGAACATCTAGTGTTAGATAGCTGAACTACTACGTAGTAACATAAATATCAACCTAAGCTAGTTTTGCTATTAGCCGATAGATGAAATATTGAGAAGTGGGCGGAGCTGAACACCCCGCATCCCGCAAATTATCACGCGTCGTTTCTTGAGAAAATTTAATCACCACACCTCCTCTTTGTTTTTCCTCCGTGGTATGCACATATCATAAATTCAAAACTATGACGGATGACACTGACAGCCAGTAGGTAAAGACTTGTTTGTCACCTGTCAGTTGACTTTTTTTTTACTGGCTTTAGATCACATGAATTAAGTAACTTGCAGTGCCTAACTCCCTAGACTTCGTTAGTTAAAACTTCTCAAAATAAAAGAATATTAGGTTATTTTATTCAAATATGTGTATTCTTAGATTTTTTATTTGATTTTTGATCATTTTTTGCAAGAAAATGTGTCATTATGCCGTTAAACGTAATTGCATTTTCATGAAACTAAAATACGAATTTATAAAAAACGGTAATCTCGAAAATTAAATGACTTACAGAAATAAGTTACTTTTAGGGCCCTCTAATTAATTACATTTAATATATGCAAGTTAGTTACTATAGCCCAATACAGGACATCTCCTTTGTCATCTGATGGTATGACATACGAAAGTATCGTATAATTTTTTAATCATAAATAGATTTTACCCCAACACTAACAATTATAAGGTGCATTGTTGACAACACAAAATATCACCATTTTGTTTATATTTCCGTTTCCGTACCAAGTCAATTTCTGTTTTAATTTTGTTATATGGGTAATTTGGTTAAGTAATATACAAGAAATTCGAGCACATAAATTACGATTTGAATTTTTGATGAAATATCTCACATTTTTATTGCGAAATATCGTAAAGAGTAATGATTGTGTTTTTTCATTATGCTTGTTGCCAACATACAACTTTGCTCATTTTGGTATGCAAACAAACGTCTAGTGCCACCTATCGGTTGATACCTGTTAACCGATTTTATTTATGCCAACAATTTGATAGCAATTTGTCAATGTAAGTATCAATGTATGAAACTCGAAACTTTCGTTCGTAAGTGCCTTACAACGATATTTGATGCCTTATTATAACACTTGCTCTCAACTCATCAGTGCACAAACAGCTCAGAACCTTCATTTAAACAGTGCCTTATTGTTGAAACTTATTCAACAGGTGCCTTTTAACATTTGCTCTCAATTTATCAATGTACAAACAGCTCAGAACCTTCATTTAAACAGTGCCTTATTGTTGAAACTCATTCAACAGGTGCCTTTTAACATTGGCTTTGCATTTACCTTTTATTTTTTAACATATATTATGATGTGATCAATATGAACAATTCAGTATAGTCAGATCACTTAACAATAATAATTTTAGGATACCCATTCATGATCAATACAGAAAATTTTCATTGAATCTTTATGTAACAAACCTCATTTAGAGAATTGCTGGACAGACATTCGCTCCACCAATCACTCGTCTCCCCCTCAATCACGGATATTCTGCTTAGTTATTGAAAGTCTCTCTGGTTCTAGGATCACTCCATTCTAGAATGATCCCAGCACCTCCACCATGTCGCGACCCTCTTGGGGGCGGGGCTGCCAATGCAGCCCATATCCGTGATACAAACGTATCCACCGTGGATCGCGAGATTTTGACGATAGACACGTGACAAAGGGAGAATCGAGAGACGAATGGTGATTACTTACCACAGATTATATTGTATGTACCTTCAAGCATCAGCGAATGTCCGTCCATGCCTCTCATCTCTTTCTTACTCCATCTGTAAGTATAAATAAAATTATGACACCACTGCGTGGTGCCACTAAGTCCCGGAGTCACACCATCATCACGGTATGATTCCAGGATTCATAGAACACATAAATATTGTCATAAATGAGTATCAAGATCATCTATATGTCAATTACCCATGTTAACTCAACAATCTACTTTAGCTGTCTAAACGATGCGGAGATTTCCTAACATGATTTTATGCCATGTGTCCTGCGCTCCTGCAGAGCGGTGTGAGCATGAGAGCCAAGCCGTCGCCTGCTCCCCATGCAACCCTTGCATGTTTGCGCCCACATGCAAGAGTCGCGTCGCCCACTTCTTATGGCACTACTATGGAACGTCTCCCATCTGGCTCAGCCACTATTCCAGCTCCGTCCAGACATAGCGCTGCGCATGCCATAACACTCTCTCTTGTGGTCTTTCGGTAGGGTACCCTAGGACTTGCCTCCTGCAGAAGCACAAGCCCTCCTCTTTTATATTGTTATAATTATGTCAATGCCACAGGCGGTTCACGCCTTTAACGCCGCCGGTACTTTCACCGCGTGAGAGAGTATCTTTTTACCTCCTTTTATATTGTTATAATTATGTCAATGCCACAGGCGGTTCACGCCTTTAACGCCGCCGGTGTGAGAGAGTATCTTTTTACCGTGCCGGTAAACACAGGTACATAGGCTAATATCAAGAGCGCAGGCAAGCGCTTATTTTTACACTTACAAACTTTTCATGAGATGCAAACAGGCTATTATTTAGGTGAACTATTCTACTACTTAGCTTTCGTTATATTCCGTTGGTTCTCGAGCTCGTAGACAGGCACGCATCAGGTAGGCACATTTTTATGGCACATAACAGTTATTAAATAACAGTACAAGGTAATAATAGTATATTGGTTAAAATAGCAGAACAAACAAGAAGAGAAAAAAGAGCGGCTTACTTGACATTGACATTAGTTATAGCGGCAATTGATATGTGTTGCCACCTCAAACATCGCGACTGGTGTTGCCGTCGCGACAACTGCGTTGACTATCCTTTTCCAATCCTTTTATTATCTTATTGTAATTAATTATCTGCATGCAATTAAAAACTATTTTTTAATAATTCCAAAAAGAAGTATAACTTCTCACGCGCGTACTTAAGTACACGCACCCATATTTTTTTTCTAATTAATCACAATTGACAAAATTATTGACTTCTTAAACCACTGAGGAAAACATTATCAGGATAACAAATAACCTCAATTTACTGAAGTCTATTAATTCGCTATGCTCATTATATTAAACAAAGAATGGATAAGCTTGGGTCAGTCACGCAGTGTTTTGTGAGATAGTACTACGTTTGCTATTATTAAGGGTGTCAAAGCAATTAAATGCAGGCAGAGTATCCGATAAAAGGCAGCAAACTCAGTTAGAAAGATTTTTTGCACAGCAATATTATTTGCAAAAAGAATCTTTGAATTTTGTGTATAAATATCATAAGTACTAAAACTATGAATAAGCTTTCAGATAGATGTTTGTAATATTTTTTTTTAATTTCTGTTCTGTTCATTCAAATATCGTTCATTCTTTTAATGTCCCATACCTATATTTGTGTTGGTGTACGCTCTCGAACAATTGCATAGTTAAACAAAATTTTTTAGCCTGTGTGCGTTTTTTTGTTTGTGTGACGTAATTTTTGAAGTGTTCGTCAATAGCAACAACACGCTCGTGTTAGTGAGAGTATTGCATATTTTCATTAGTGTGCTATACATGTGTACCTCGTCCCGCACCAAAAATTGTAAAAGAATTTGTTCGGCCAGTGAATGGTATGTAATCTCTATTGGTATATGCTCTAAGATGTCGAAAGTTTCAAGTTTAAAGAATCAGACTAGAATCGACACCAATAGCTGAAAGTTTGGCTGTATAGATTATATCCACTTTATCATTACAAAAATGCGAGAAGGTTTAAAACAACAACGATGACATTTTATTTCCAAAGACCAGATTTTCTTCTCTTTTATAGTCTGTGGCAAGGAACTTAGTCTGTGGTCTGCGGACGGATCATAGTTATGTCTATGGCAGAGATAGATAATCATGGATGAAGAATTTTCAAATTATGGTCGTTTTTGATGCTAAATATCTCTTTTGCTTTTTCTTATCACCTTAATATAACTACTAAAACGAATAATATTTATACTAATTTATTGAATTGTAATATGCATGTAATAAAAAATCACATGGACAAAATCCTCGAAAATGACAAAGATTTTTTTGTCTATGGTGAGCTTTCATCTCTTTCGCTCGCTAGTTTTACATGCGCGACTGAATGTCTTTCTTTTTAAAAGCAGCACGTGTAGACGCGGACGACTTGCGTAGCATCGAATAAGATAATTTAGGTAAAAACCAATTAATATATTCCAATGATGTTTCAAAAGTTTTCAATATTAACTAATTTTATAAATATTCGATTAGCGTAGTCATTTCGTTGTTGCGATGATTGTCTTCATAGTAAATGAATTGCATTGCGATGGCTCTCTGTGCATCGATTATTTAGGTTTCGGTGTGGCAATCCATCTCTATAAGTGCAGTGTTATTTTGCTTTTAGCTTAGTTAATCAAAAATGCCGTCAGACGCAAAAAAAAGGGCGCAACAAAAGAAAAAGGAACAGGCGAGCAATAGAAATAAAAAACCTGTGGCCAGAGTAACCAATGAAGAGAATGGATCCGCGACTAACGGAACCAGCAAAGAGGAAAGGGAACTTACAGCCGAAGGTAAATAAATGAAAATGAAATGAAACCTACCAATGGATTTACTTCCATTTTCTTTTCTAACCTATCAAACTTGTTCCATGAGTTCAATAAAGTGTATTAGACCGTATACTGCTGCCTGTTTTTAGGCCATTATAATTTCCGTTGTAAATTGTTGAAATCGTACGACTGTTTCGCTAATATCATCAAACGAAATGTTTTTGTTTGTGCCCATATTTTTGCATAATGGTTACTAAATGGTTAATTTCTTTGTTCTCAAATTAAAAGCATCATGTAGAGTGACGGAACTTATGTTGTACAAGAATGAGAAAATCTGTTTTTTTTTGTAACATTGTTTTGTATATAGCCTGCCAAACATTTTTGTTATTCAGTATGTGAACTATACACAGTTAAGCAATATTATGCAGATCTAATCAATGATGTCACGTAATTATTTAATAGACTTTTTCAAATAATATATTTGTAAAGCAAACATCATTCAGTTTCTTCTTAGTACAAAGCCTTCACCTGTATTGATTTGCAAACTGATTGTGTAAATTTGTTACAGTGTACGCTGTTTAACAGTGCTCAGTAGCAGATTGTATAAATAATACAAAGTAGACAGTCACTTTTGAAATCACCTGTTTTTTTGTTGGGCTATTTATTATTATCTTGCAGAATAGTTATTCATTATCTTAGATATCAAATTATGAAATATGAAAATTTATAGATACAGAGGGGTTATTATATTAATTGTTTTGTATTCTTTATTTTAAAATTCTTGAATGCATGTTATTCATATTCATTTATTGCATCTTGTTGTATACATAGGCGTTACAAGTATGGTTAACTTGCAAACAATTAAAGGTTTATTTTTTAAAATTTGTATAAAAAATTTAAGCATCTCTAAAATAATGTTATGGTGTTTCTTTGTGATAGCAATAGAATAGGGCGTTAGGGATGTTAAATTGCAAGTAAATATCCTTTAAGTAACTAACTGAAAAGCTTCCAGATAAGAATTTGAAAATTTAAACTCGTCATTTGAAATATTTACTCACTTTTAGTATTGTTTTTTTATTTGATTAGGTAAATTTATTTGGTTTTTTCGTTTTCTTAAGTATTTAACTGCTAGATGTTTAAATGTAAAGAAAATTTTACTGGAAAAAAATCCACGCAGATCAGGCAGCAGACAGGACTCGAACCCACACCCTTTGCTATCTGGGCGAATGAACTGACCATTATGCTACCATGGTCCTAATAGCCGTGTCAAATGCCAATTGTTTTAATTAATCTGAATATTGCTACTCGTTCTCGTGTTTTAAATGATTTACGGAAACCAAAGATAACAAAAACAGTCAACAAGACATGTCAATATATACATAACTTGAGAGCTGGCACTGTACTGCAGCTAAAAAACAATATGACTATTTCAGAGTGTTAATATAATTAATTTCCTTCAAAGTAGGGTTGCACTGGATTATTATCAAGATAATTTTGTATTGATAATGTGTTACTATGATAGAAAGCACTCGACCAAACTCAGATGATGAGGATGTTATTCCATTGACTTTTACTAGCCAAAACTTTGAGATATATATGTTACCGGCCAAACCCGATTTCAGGACAAACTAGTTTTGCCTAGGCTAAACTGGTTCTTCCTATGCGCGATAGGATTAACTAGTATAGCCTAGTCCAAACTAATTTGTCCTAAGCCCGATAGGATAAACCAGTTTAGCCTAGGCCAAACTAGTTGATCCTGATAAAAATACGCATACTCTAGGATAAACTAGTATGGCCTAGTGTAAACATTATAGTATATCTAGAAAGTCAAAATAAATAGATAAACTGAATAAAATAATCCGTAATTGGAAAAATAATATTTTTTATTAAAACCATAATGATTCATCGTTACAAGTTATGGATAATTAGTAATACAAAGAAAAGTAAGAAAAGTTTAATTTTTCTAGTAAACTTTTCTTTAGATTTAAACACCTAGCAGTTAAATGCTTAAAAATAAATAAAAACACTAACTATAATTGCTATTTCTTCTTTCAAATGTTTAATACTTGAAAAAGTATTCATTTGACATTGTGGGTTGCGTGGTTGCAACCTACAATGCGAAGAGATGGCGCTGCCTTGCAGCTTAAGGCTAGGAAAATTTCGACGCGGCGAATAGGGCCGTGGTAGCATAATGGTCAGTGCATTCGCCCGGATTGCGAAGGGTGCGGGTTCGAGTCCGGTCCGCTGCCTGGTCTGCGTGGTTTTTTTTTCTAGTAAACTTTTCTTAAAATATTTTGAGTTTACAGTGAGATGAATTGTAAAAGGTTCGAATGATTCGGAATTTCTTAAGCCGGGTAGTTACTCATTGGCGAGCTGTAACCATAACCGTTGCACGCACTGTAACCAAAAAGCATAGTGTGTACGTGGTTCGATAACCTGCTGCGAGAACGGTACGCGTGCGGTTTGAAGCGAGCCAACGTTCACAACTGAGCTACTAGCGTACACACTAGAACTTCGTACTGTATCACGTATGTTACGGTAACAGATCGCTAATGCGTACCCGGCTTTACTGTCTTCCGAACTCCCGGCAACAACAAAAGAGTTAAACAAAAACCAATTACAGAAAAAACACTCCCTCCACTTTCTTCCAGCGTTCTTTTTACATGACGCGCCCTGTACAAGTCCTGACATGTTTGTTCAATTACTTTCCGCTTTGCTAAATTGGTTTAGACTAGGTCGTACTAGTTTATCCTAGAGTGTGCGTATTTATATCAGGATCATCTAGTTTGGCCTAGGCTAAACTGGTTTATCCTGTCGCACTTAGGATAAATTAGTTTGGACTAGGCTATACTAGTTAATCCTATCGCGTATAGGAAGAACCAGTTTAGCCTAGGCAAAACTAGATTGTCCTGAAATCGGGTTTGGCCGGTAACATATACATTAATTCTTAAAGGAAAAATTTAGACAATATGTGTAATAGTATTATTAAGACAAAAAAAAACATAGATTTTCAATACTGATTTTAAATGTGATTTTATAATAAATCAAAAAAATATCTAAAAATACAAAAATAAAACTTTCATTTATATGCATAAATTATTTACCCATGACAGGATAATTGTCTGTGAAAATAATTGTCTAGATAATTTGCAACTCTGCTTCAAAGAGTGTAGGAACAAAAGTCACAAAAAAATTGTCATGTTATCATTAGAAAGTTTCTCTGTGTGATAATAAATAAAAATAAAATAAGCCTTTATTCAGATTGACTTGTTACATATATTATATTTACTTAAATTATTAATCTGATTGCCCTTTGGCAAAGGCCTCCCCCAGAGTTTTACAATGCTGTCTCACCATGGCCTTCCTGCTCCATGCCTCTCTTGCAGCCACTTTTAATTCATCCTCCCATCTCTTCCTTTGTCTTCCTTGCCTCCTTTTTCTTGTGTGATAATACAAATACGTAAATAAATTTTCGCGGCCCTTTCTATACACAATGTGTACAAAACCATACAGTTTAAAACTTCAAATATAAATGGCTTGTTGGCAGAAACATCTATGGTTCTTTTACTTTCTCCAGCATGAAATTGAGGAATTTCTAATACGATGTGTCTAATTATGTATAATTACCCTGATTATAAGCAAATGTATTTTTTACAGAGGCATTATGCCTGAAATTAGAAGCAGAAGCCAAAATGAACTCAGAGGCGCGGTCCTGCACTGGTTCCTTGGCTGTTCATCCTCGTTCCCGAGACATTAAGATAGCAAATTTTTCCATCACCTTCTATGGAAGTGAACTGCTACAGGATACTTTGCTTGAGCTTAACTGCGGCCGAAGATATGGTCTAGTAGGGCTCAATGGATGTGGTATGTACAATTTTTAGTTTGTTTCGCTTCTTCTGTGTGGTCCACATGAATTAAGCTCGTTAGTTTTTGCCTGTTCTTCGATATTATAATTTTTTTCTGTTTGAAATAGTCTCATATATATTTTAGGTTTGATATTTTATACTAAAGTTGCATAAGTGTTCTTAAATATCCTATCCTACTAATATTATAAATGCGATAGTTTGTATGGATGTTTGTTATTTTTCATGCTAAGACAGCTGAACTGATTTGGATGAAATTTGGCATGTATAATGTTCATGACCTAAACTGACACATAAGATAGTTTTTTACCTTGCTACATTTTTGGATCCTGTGGGTTTCTCAAAACTAGTATTTTTATTTACATTTTATTCCCTTGCCCCTATCAATTCCAAAAGATTGAACAACTTTTATTATTCAAGAAATGGCTGAAGATTCATACAAATTTTAATTGCTTATTTCATCCATTAGACAATAAAGAACTGGAAGATGCAGTAATGTGTATTGATTAGCTCATCTACCAATCTTCATATTCCTATGTTTAAATTAATTTAGTTCCATCCTTTATTTTAACTCCTAGATAGGATGATGTGTTTATGTTTTCGTCTTTAAAGGTCGCTTATGACATTTACAAATACAAAATTCCATTCTCCTAGACCTAGCAGTTTTTTGATACAATAACACCGTATTTTCAGATTAGTTTTGGTAAAAAAATACTCTATTATAGTATTAATTAGTAGTAGTAGACGAAGTAGTTTTCTTTTATACAAGTGCACCTGATGAAGTGCGAATGGAGTCCATTATGAAGATAGCTGGTGATGTGGAAAAGTGTCCCATTCCATCCTTCCTCACACTTTTGGCCTCATTTCCTTACCCTTTGGAGTCCCAAAAATTTCGTTCAGCACCAGAAACGTTACACCGCTAAAAGTAGCTTATTTCACTGCTGACACTGACGCTCAATTTAAACGGACCATTTATACGCCGTACCTATAGTGACCCACCCTTGCTTTGCTTCGGTGTGGGAGGTAGATTAGTTTTTGTTTTCACGACGACCTCCGTGGCCGAGTGATTTGTACGCCAGGATTCATGGTGTCGTCGACTCGAGAGGTCCCGTGTTCGGATCCCGGTGGGGGCAGATGTCTGTGTGATGAACTTGAGCATATTTGTACTCCAGTCATGGCTGTTTAATATGTATTTCTATATAAATATACTTATATATGTACTGTATATGTATTCTATCCGTTACCCTAGCATCCCATAACACAAGCCTTACAGTGCTTACTTTGGGGCTAGGCTAATTGATGTGAGTGTTGGAGATATTTATTTATTTATTTTGTTCTAATATATGGCCTATGACACTCGCAAATAACGTGACATTCTACTGGCAAAAGATTTTTCAAAATAAGCTCAGTAAATCTACATACTACTACCATAAAACCTCCTTTTAACATTAGTATAGATGGAGCCTAGTAAATGTCCATACTGCTGTATTTTTTTACGATTTTATGACTAGTAACTTCTGAAATATAAAGTTGGTAGACATTTTTTGTGTGGTCGAATTCCTATCAGACGGTTGACAAAGCAATGCCAAGGTACGGATGACTGACCATGCCGACCTATCGAATCTTTCTTAATAACGAAACTGTTTCTAAACTCCTCTCCAATTCGTAACAGAAGTTACGACATTTCAATAGTTCTTTAATCGTGCTGATAAGTCTTTTATTTGCATATTATGTGTATGTCCAAATTATTTGTGAATAGTATGTTGCCGAAATCATACGTTGACGGAAAGTAAAGGCCTATCAACAGATGATGTAATTTCTGAAGCTTACAGTCAAGGGACTTGCAATTTGTAACTATTGACTTTATACAAATTATTGTACAAGGGCAACGTGGTATGTCCATATGGCGAACTATAAGAGCGTACCATATATGGATGCGATTGCGGCTCGGGCCTAAAAACTTTGTGCTATAGGCAATATGTAGTGTAGTAGTACTATTGATAATTTATTATTATTTTTTATCGTGTTGCGAAGCAACCAAACCAGTTGATTCTACATACGGCCCCTATTAAGCCTTTCTGAAAATGTGCATGTTCTTTTAAGGCTAACGCTAAGCGTAATGATCAACAACGCGCTTTTACCTCTTTCGGATTCGCCTTGCGATTATTTTTTATTTGATGATGGTTAAAGGAATGGAGCAAGGAAAAATTCGCCTGAATGTAAGTTGACGCTCATCATAGCCTGTAGGTAGACGCTTGCAATGCTAGATAAAAGCTCGTTCATTCTTACTGCTCCCTAACCCCAATAGAGCTGTGGAGGGAGATCTTAGTACAGTCTTGTAAAATAAGAAATACTTCTCCAGGACTATGCCGTTCTTGTAAAACTACTCTAAACGCTTCGTGACCTACAGTCGGTTTGTATCAATTATTCGATACGCGTAGAGTTGTTAAATAAAGGGTTTCAAACCAAAATCTGTGGTTTTAAACAGTTGAATTCAATGAGGTTTAAAGCTATGGTTTATAATCACCGATTTTGGTTATAAATTACAGATACGAGTAATGTTGCATCAGCATCACCTTGAATACCACTATAAGGCTGGTGTCATATTGTTAGGGCCTAGTAACTAGTCGATTATATAAAAAGCCGTCCAAGGGTGATGAAGCTGAACACAGAAATGGTACCACTCAATATTTTTGACAATAGAAGAACAAAAAACGCCTTTTATAGGGTTCCGTACCTCAAATGAAAAAACGGAACCGTTATAGGATTACTTTGTTGTCTGTCTGTCTGACAAGGCCCTTTATCACGGAAACGTGTGGAGGTTTTGAGTTTAAATTTAAACCATTAACTCAGGTCTATAGTCACTTGAAGCTATGATAAAAAAAAAATAACATGAGAAAAAGGTACTGCCATTTATGTTAGTCTGTGCGGAAAGAGAATGGGATTTAGATTGGAGGGCGCTGTAGTGGTTTTTTACCGTATTTGTAAGGTTTTACCCCTTTTAGACATGATTAAATACAAAAAACCGCAAGAAATCACAACAACAAACAAATCCGTATCAATACAAACCTTTGACGTTTTACAGATTGCTGTGTTTGATTGCCAAATAAAAATCTTAATGTTAGTTCCGTTTTTCGCCACGCCCATTCGCTTTCCACACAGTCTCTACGTACCTACAAATTTGTACGGAATCCTCGGTGGGCGAGTCCCATTTATTCGGGTCTACAGTCACTTGAAGCTATTATAATAAAAAAGTATAAGTTAACATGAAAAAAAGATACAGCCCTTTATGTTACGTAAGGTCTGAGCCCCACCTATGGAGACATTAATAGGCTGGTGATGATGAATAGGGTACCGAAACCTGTAAGAGAGTGTACTCTAATCTGTAGTTTATAATACTGAACGTGTACTCATTGTCATATAATAAGTCCAATATAAAGTCGGTATAATGTTTATTGCTCTGCACCAACTTTTCACCTGTTTAAATTGGCGCTGCGCTGCGTGCGAATGTTATTTTAAATAGTAGCTTTAATGTTTGTTATAATATATATATATGGACACCGCGAGAGCTATTAAATTTTTAATGCATTTTCTGTGCGAATTTAAATATAAATGAGGGATAAGGATTTTTCGTGTATTAAATCATATTAGCGACTGCCCGCGGCCCGCGACTTAATCGGACCGCCGAATCCACCGGTCCGGTATATTGGGAACCTGCACTTTGTAATAAAAGACTTTAAAAAAAACTTTTATTTCGGTGACTGACAAGCGTTAGTTATACAGGTATTCGCCTGTTTATGGCTTGTTCCTAGGGTTAATACGCCCTCATTCTAATCAATGATTTAACAACATTGTGTCAATAAGTTCTTTTAGACACTGTATACACTACAACTACATACCACCTACTACTGTACTCGATCCTTATATAAGTTTTATCTGCTACAATTTCAACTTAAATTTTGATGGTTATAAAAAATATTATCATCTCGATTATTATCATATTTATCTTCACAGTGAAGCAGGAGTTCACTGTGAAGCTTCGGAGGGTTCTATAAGTCGTTGGTTTCGGCAACATCTACAGCTGACAGCACCTAGTAAACCGCACTGGATGCGCATGGTGGCGCTCTCTATTTCATCCACCGTGAAGCCTGTGCTCCAATAAAAGGAGCATAAAAAATGATAAATTTAAAAAATCAAAAACCCGACTGCTAAAATATTACTTGAAATAAAAACTGAAAATAAAAAAACAAGTCCAGTAGGTAGTCTATAATTCAGTTAAGTAAGGAACAAAGCTACTTTAACAGTCGGGATCCATTAGATCATTGATTTTCAAAGTGGGGGGCGTGCCCCACTAGTTAGGCGCGAAGACATGAACAGGGGGGGCGCGGGCACGGGGGTGGCGGTCTCACTCCGGATGCACGCGCATTTCCGCGCCGTACGCGCCTTGCGAGAACACGTGTGCACTTGATGTAAAAACAAACAAGCGACGTGCTATTATTGTTATTTGTGTGTAAGAGTAGTGACAGTTACCGATTATTTCTTTTATTTCGCCATGAGCTTTGCGAAAAAACGTAAATATAATGATGATTATAATAAATACGGTTTTGTTTCTATGAATAAAAGTGGTATAGACCAGCTGCAGTGTGTTATTTGTTATGAAGTACTGAGCCATGATGCTATGAGACCTTCGCGTTTGGAACGTCATTTGTTAACAAAACACAGCGCTTTAAAAGGCAAGCCGAAGGAGTTATTTGCTTCAAAATCTGCAAGTTTGAAGCGCATGAAATTGGATAGTACTGGAACATTTGCTCAGTCATCTGAGAAAGTGCTCGAAGCTTCATATGAATTGTCGCTACTTATTGCAAAAGCCAAAAAAAGCCATACTATCGGAAAAACACTCGTTAAACCCTGCTTATTGAAAGCAGCTGATATTGTTCTTGGAACAGAAAGTAAACAAAAAATTTCACTAATACCTCTTTCTGACAATACTGTGAAACGTCGTGTTGATGATATGGCTGAAGATATTAAAAATCAAGTTGTGGAGGCCGTGAAAGAATCATGTTTTTTTGCAATACAGTTGGATGAAAGTACGGATGTTGCGCAATGTTGTCAACTGCTAGTTTTCGTTCGGTACATACAAAACGAAACAATCAAAGACGAGTTGCTAATGTCAACAGAGTTAGCGACAACTTCGAAAGCAATTGATATAATGACAGCAATTTCTGGATCCTTTGATAAACATGAACTGTCATGGAAAAAGTTGATAGGTGTTTGCACAGACTGCGCTCCGGCAATGCTTGGATGTCGTTCAGGATTCGTGCAGATGGTCAAAGAAAAAAATCCCAACGTAATTACTATTCACTGTTTTATACACCGTCAAGCCTTGGCAGCTAAAACACTTTCAAACGAACTCTATGACGTCTTAAAATTATGCATTAAAATTGTAAATTATGTTAAAAAGAGTGCATTAAACACGCGGCTATTTACGGCTCTCTGTGAAAATTTGGGCACAGAACACAAGGCTTTGTTATTTCATACATAGGTGCGTTGGCTCTCAAAAGGCAATATGTTGGCCAGATTATTTGAACTGCGAGATGAAGTGATTCAGTTTTTAGAAATTCAAAATCAAAGTAACTTATTTGTTGAATTTAAAAAACCATGGGTCCAAGTAATATTTGCTTATCTATCTATTTATAGATATTTTTGATTCTTTGAACATTTTGAACTTGAAATTACAAGGCGGAGACTCCAACATAATTTATCATCGGGATGCTATCACGGCATACTGTGAGAAGTTGCAACTCTGGAAACGCAAAATATTGGCGTCCAATTATTCCTGCTTTCCTAAACTATTTGCGATCACAGAAGAAGCGTGCTTTAAGGAGATTTTGGATGAAATTGATACCAAGAATAAAATATCAAACCATTTGCAGCAGCTCACGGACGAATTCAAGCGCTACTTTCCCGATTCGTGCGATAATATTATTTATCGATTAGCAACCGATCCTTTTCACGTTAACATAGAAAGGCTGCCAGATACATTACAAGAGCAAGTTTTGGAAATCAAAAATGATTCTGCTGCCCAATATGATTTTGAGAAGATGGATAAGGCACAATTTTGGGTTAAATATCTCAAAGTTTATCCCAGCACAGCAGAGCAAGCATTAAAACTATTTTTACCCTTTTCAAGCACTTACTTATGCGAAAAAGCGTTTTCAGCAGTTGTAGCAATAAAAACAAAGTACAGAAGCAAACTAGATATTGCTAGTGATCTACGTTGTGCACTTTCTTCTATTGAACCCAGAATTGGAAATCTTGTCAAAAACATGCAAGCTCATCCGTCACATTGATTCTTCTTATAATAAGTGTGTAAAAGCAATATTTTTTATAATAGAACATATTGGAAATGTATTCTTGGACTTTATTACCCTAATTATTTAATTTTACAATTGCTTGGCGAGCCCACTTGCTACTACTTGCTGGGCCCTGAACCTAGGGGAGGCGTAGGCACATTCATTTAAGCAGTAGGGAGGCGTGATACTTATAAGTTTGGGAACCTCTGCATTAGATATTCATGTATAGACTAGCAATCCCGGCGAACTCCGTTTCGCCACCAGATGGCTTCGTTTTATGTAACATTTCGTTTGGTGATTAAAAGAAGTTTTATTTTTATTTTTTCCTGAATTTTCTTTGCTATAAACCTCACGGAGCCCGAGACCTTTCCAACAATTGCAAAACCGTGGAAATCTGTTCGTGCGTTCTGGAGTTATAGCGTCAGGAAGGAAAACCCGACTTATTTTTATATTCATGTATAGATAAAAAATTTCAACAATGGGTCCCGACTGTTAAAGTAGCTTTGTTCCTTACTTAACAGGTTGTTACATTATTTATTATTATAATTTCAAGCATTAATGTCAATGTCGTTGATTAATCTGCTCGATTTATAAATATAAAGAAAACTTTTAGTTGAAAAAAATACACTGACAACTTCACCGAGAGGAATTTTTTCTAGTATTTTTTTATAACTACATTTTATCCGAGTAACATAGGCTATATTTTATCCCGTTAAAATTAAATTCGCCCGTGCAATGCCGGGGTGGATCACTAGTAAGTATAATATAATATTATAGATGCGAAACTGAGTTTGTTTTTTACGCTTCCGCGCCCTGATAGCTAATTCGATTATGATTAATTTCCCTATAGAAATAGATGGGCCTTAGTTCTAAGCTACAATATCGCAATACTTATAGGTGATGGTAGGGGTGATTTACCTATAAAACTTTATATTATTTAGGTACTTTGATTTTTGCAGAATTATCTATACTAATATTATAAAGAGGAAAAATTTGTATGTAAGTATGTTTGTAACGAATTGGCTCAAAAAGTATTGGACCGATTTTAAAAAATCTTTCACAATTTGAATGCTGCATTATCACTATATATAGGCTATAGCGTATTTTCATAAAAGTTAGGGTTCCGTATGAAAACTTCGATAATGTAACCCAACGTGTGAAAAAAATACCAAAACATAGCCTTATATCGCGTACGCTGCGGAAGTCATTGACAATAGAGCAAAGTGATGTACTAAAGTTTTATAGAGGATATCAATATCTACAAAAAAGTCCGGGATACCATGTCTCTAACTATTACAGTTATGTCACAACTAGAGGTCAGCTGTGGTTTCACCCGCGTTAATTTGAAGAAAAAGGTTTATAGTGAGTTAAACTTAAAATATGGACATATGATGTCGTGGACTTTTTTACAGAACTTTTAAAGGGAAAGAATTCCATCATACATTTTTTTTATGTAACTAACCGATTACCAAGCGCGCAATGGATTATTTTTACCCGTTTTTGCAACAGTTTTAATCGATGCTCCGCTGCTACTGGTCGTAGCCTGGTAATATATAGCCTATAGCCTTCCTCGATAAATGCACTGTCCAATACAAAAATAATTTCTCAAATTAGAACAGCAGAGCTACGTTGCATCCGGTACAACGCGTCCTAAACTAAGCAACGAAGTGTTTATTTGGAATGGATGGTTTATAATTATTATGAAGAAAATCATTGTGTATAATACAAGCCTTTGAACATAAACTATAATCTATACTACAGCTCTACACCGAAGCAAGGCGAGGGCGGGCCACTAGTCGTTTATAATTACAAAACCAAAATAATCGCGGACTAATTATTAATAAATACAGGGAGTCCATTAAATATGTACCTACTAGCGAAAAATTGGTAATGTCTTATTATGTTAAGTAACTCTTTTTTTTGTAACATGAAGTAATATCGTTAACATAAACTTTAAAAACTTAATGTATGATTATTGTAATTTAATGAAAACTGGAGTTTTTCATTAAATTACAATAATCATACATACACCTATTATGATAATTTATTTTTCATCATTTAATAAGAAGGAACTGTAGAATAGGTTTATTGTAAGTACTTCGTATAGGATAAGATACTGCGAGTAGCCAATTTTTTTCTTTTTCGCCTAGGTTTTATCTACATTTATAAACACCAAAATTAAATTTCTTCTCCCACTATTCCTGGAGTCTAATCTTGCGCAGTACTCCGCGCTATCACTTTTTCATCGTTGTAACTTTTTAAATATTTGTCGAAATGACATAGTGTAAAAGGCAAAGTTTATCGTCCTTAAATATCAAAGTCGATAAAAGTATTTGCTTTGATAAAAAATAATTTGTTAATACAAAATGTGCATTTTGGAAATGGACATAATTTATACTTTATTTTAGACTCACTATTTTAGCGATAATGGCTTGCATATTAAAAATAGATATATGTTGTCGCGGACTTTCTTGTAGAACTATTCAAGAGATACATTTTCACTGTACATTATATTCGTGCAACTTTTATTGGTTTTGAAGTGCAGGCCAAAATGACTCGCCGATGGAAGATTTTTTTCCGTCTTATGTGACACTTATTGTTATATTTTGGCCAATTCACTCAATGACTACATAAGTTGTTATCTGTATGTTATTATCATGTATGAGCTATATTATTGTAAAGTTTCATTAAAATCCATTCAGTATTTTTTAGGTAAAGATCCATACATACGTAAGATTGAAATTCAAAGCGTAAGTGGTTAATATACAAATTTAAATCGTTGTAGATCCTAAACAGTCACATAAAATGAAAAATGGTGTAAGGAACCTAATCATGATTTTTGATAATCTAGACAATGATACCCCACTCGACATATTTCATCAATTTATTATTTTTACTTCGTCACAATATGGCGCCTAATTGTCCCCATATTGAATTTTGATTACTATCATATCTTTAGTAGCACTCCCATGATTAAAACGAATCGATTGATGTATAAATCATCAAAATCGGTCCACGCGTTTGGTCTCTAGTGTGCCACAAAAGAACAAACATACATTATATAGACTGTTAAACACTATACCCTGTCTGCACGTCGCGCTTCGCGCTCTTGCATTGCGCAGTCGGGTAAAAATGCTGATGATTATGTAATAAACATTATTTCCTTGTTATATAGGTACCTTATGTTTCTTTGTTGTAGCTGTCAAGGTCAATGAATATTTTATAATAACTTATATTGATTGATGCAGGCAAATCGTCATTGCTGTCAGTGCTGGGGCGACGCGAAGTGCCGATACCGGAGCACATCGACATCTTTCACCTGACGCGAGAGATGCCGGCCTCCGATAAGACCGCGTTGCAATGCGTCATGGAAGTGGACGAGGAGCGAGTGAAGCTCGAGAAACTGGCCGAAGAGCTCGCCCATTGCGACGACGACGGTGACTAGAATTTTCTTTGATTATTTAAACGCTTAGATAGTGCAATCCAAATAAATAACGCGAAGAAAAGGCTCATGTTTGGCGCAATGTGTGCGTGACTAATGTCAGATTGTACTTAAAAAGTCAGCGAGTGTACGACGAGCATATCTACCATATGTAGTAGGTATTTTTTGTGCCGCTTCCGTGCAATCAATATGGTATCCGGGGTGTATATCAAAGAGTATTTTAGAGTGTACAGTACAGGATACCTTTGGTCCACGTTCTTAACTGTTTCCTAATAGGTATATAAAAGAAGTATTTTATTCGTTTTTTCATAACTACTTATGAAATGGTTTTTGACGCCCTTTTACGTAAAATAATTCCATTCTCTTTGATTGTACCCAATGTGACAACATCCTAAACTGTCTGTTTACGAATGACTGTGTGTGGTGTTTTAAAAAGATAAGATAAAATTTTATTCGCACCAATATGCACACATACAAAAATGAAGACAAATTGAAGACAAAAAAAAAACTTATGCATAGACAACGCAAGTATTTAGAATTGTATGTAAGTTATATTTTGAATGATAGGTAACGGCAACCTAGCTTGATATGCCACTGCTAGGTATTTTTTGTTAAATATCGATCGTCATGCAGTATTGAGCGAGAGAGGGTTTACACTCTCAAAACAGCAGCCGCGGCGAAGGAGTCTCATATCAAAGGAAAAGGCGAACCCACTTATGCACCAGCGATAGCATTTGACAACTTGTGCTGTAGCCTGAGTGATAATAAGGTCTATTTTATTTACTTTTATTCATACTCCATCTACCCACGCGTTAACAAAGGGTACCAAATCATTTTTATTTCGATTAGATCCGCGAATAAAGAAATTTTTACCCGCGAATATAGGAATTAGGTCGCAATATTTTAATCCCCAAATAGTGAAAGTATGAATAAAGGACGAGTGAATAAATAGCCTTTCCTGCATAAAAAAAAAACAATAAAAACTAACACAATTATTTTTTAAATCACATTTAATGTAAAATTATTGGCTATCTAATAATCCATACGAAATTTCTTTTTAAATATCATAATATGAAAAGAAACCTGTCAAGATTTACGGTATATGTAAAAATGCAATCACTTCTTCATTTACAGCAACAAAACGGTGTTACGATGTTATTATGTGTGTTTTTTTTTGTGTGTAGAGATGTTTCATAGTTATTCATAAGAAAATGTCACCCGTGTCAAGAGTTATCCAATTTGGTGCCGTCGTTCGGAAGTACATACTTCGATGATTCATTTGTTTTAAGATAGACTTGTTTGACATTTAATCCAAATTTGTAACACAAGAACACCGAAATTATGTTAAGTTTTCCAACTAGATATTTATAGAAATCTTATGATATCATTGAAACTGTTCATGTTTCAATGATATCATAAGATTTCTGTAAATTCATGTGAAATCTGACATTGTGGTAGCAGTTGCTTCTTCTGGATTAACGGTCATATTGTTGGAATGTAGTAGATAGATAGGTGAAGGTGTTTCAAGAGTGTAATAATTTTACTGTCTAGCTAGAGATTTTTGCGATAGTCATTCCAAATTTGACTACCCAATGAAATAAAGACGCCTCTTATTATTATTCTTTTATTTATTTTTTATAACGAGGTAAGCAAATGACTCTACCCCAACTGATGTTAAGTGGTGATAAAGTCCAAACGCGAAGATAGCTGGTACAGTACACTTTATAAACTGCTACACCAACCATTCTCACATTGCCGGCCTGCAAAATTTTAAGCGGTACGAATTTCGCCGGGTCATCTAGTAAATAATAAATATTTCTAACACACACCGATTTAGCCTAGTCCCAAGTACGCACTGTAAGGCTTGTGTTATGGGATACTAGGGCAACGGATAGAATACTTATTGATACATAATTAAGTATATTTATCTAGAAATATACATCTATGACTTGGGTACAAAGGCTCGTATTTATCATACTAACATTCGCCCCACTGGGATTCCAACCGGTACACCTCTAAGTAGGCGCACTTGAAACCCGGCGTACATACCATTTGGCCATATGGGGTCGTCAAAAATTTGAAGTGACCATCGAAGTGTTTCCGTTTAGATGCGCAAGAGCAACTGATGGATGTGTACGATCGCCTGGACGACCTGAGTGCGGACACGGCGGAGGCGCGCGCCGCCCACATCCTGCACGGTCTGGGATTCTCCAAGGCTATGCAGCAGAAGGCCACCAAGGACTTCTCCGGAGGTGAACTTTACATCAAACATCACATACTACAGAAATTATGATGCCATTCCTCACGCAAAACAGGCACATGGTGTCGAGTTGCTGAAAAAGTGTGGCTGCCGCCTGACATCAAAGACATAGACCACAAAAATTAATTATAACTGAAAAACGGCTTTCAAATCGGTGTATGTAAATTTGTAATTTGATTATGATGTAAATGACTTTAAATAAATTAAAAATAACTTTGACAATACAACTAAATTTTTACATAACATTTGATATATACACATGGATATTTTTCTCTTTTTGAGAAAGCAAAGGCATCTAAGTACACATTACCTATCCTTCAGTATATATCTTTTGCTTTTTGCTTTTCATCAGAATGCAATGCATCCTATGGGCAGTTGTTAATGAGCCGATTTCTACCCGGGCTTAAGCACGGTGTTAAACCGTGTCTCCGTCGGGTCTCAGTTAGATATGGGCCACTATGAAGGTTTGTTAACGATACCGATGCTACCGGTTTGTGATCGGTAGAAACCGTGCTCGTGAATAAGCTTAGCCAGCGACAGCCCGGGTAAAAACAGTCTCGTTAATAAGCGCCTTAATGCTTTTCGAATTATATTATTTGCCATGAAATGTATGGAGACAGCTTTCTTTATTAACATAACCTTTGTTCAAAGTTAATAGTTAAATGGTTCTGGCATTATTCTCTAAGGACCGTATTAATAGATCGCTCTCGACTCGGAGAGCGGTCTTGAGTACGATCTTGAGATGCTGTTGTATATGAAAAGTTCCTCAAGATTGTAGACAGAGTTGAGAGTGATCTTTTAATAACTAAAATTAAATTTGAAAACAGTGTATCATTATCGTTGTTCTCTATAGAGATTGAAAAGGAGAGACTTAAATTTAGTTTTATGTTAAGAGAATCATGTCAGGTATTAATTATGGTTTCATCGTTAAGGTTGGCGCATGCGTATCGCACTCGCGCGCGCGTTGTATGTGAAGCCTCACTTACTGCTGTTGGATGAGCCGACCAACCATCTCGATCTCGACGCCTGCGTGTGGCTCGAAGAAGAATTGAAACAGTAAGTCTATTTTTATCGCTAGCTTTATTTTATATACTCACTATATCCTTTAAGACTAGCCCTTGCATCGTACGAGACTAAATAAAAAGCTGAGGCTAAAAAAATTTTTAAACAAAAAATAAAACCGACTAAGTACTTAATCGAAAATGGAACTAAAAAGTAAAAAGTAATATCTGTGTCATGATTTAGAAGTCGGGCGGGTCAAGATTGAAAGACGTATTTTTTCCGATCAGAAACGAAAATCTATTTGATGTTTCAATCTTGACCCCGCCCGACTTCCAAATCATGAACCAGATATTATTTTTTACTTTTTAGTTACATTTTCGATTTTGAAGTCGGTTTCATTTTTTGTTTATTTTTTTTTATTTCGTCCATTTTAGTGAAAATTACATCGTCCAAGTAAACAATAACACAATTGATGGCCTTCTAAATCTGAAGGTTTCCCTCGATTTCCCCGGATTCCACCATCAGATCCTGATTTGGTTCCAATGGGACCAACTTGGAAGTGCACTCTTTCGAATAAAAAAAGATTTGGAAATCTGTCCACAATTGACGGAGAAATCGGGCCACAATTGACGGAGAAATCGTTTAACATACAAAAAAAAATGTACGGTCGAACACAGAACCTCCTCCCTTTTTTGAAGTCGGTTAAAAAGCGATTTGCAGATTTCTTTAACATTTTGTTTGTTAGCCAACCGCACATTGAGTCACTAGTAGCAGCCACTAAACGCGACAACAAGCTGCTGACGAGTTTTTTTCCATACTTTTGTATAGTACCGGAGCAAACCGAGCGTTCGAGCCGCCGCGTTGGAGCCACAAGCTCCGCATTTGTCGCGTTTTTGTCTGTTGTTGTTTTGGTCGCGTTCAGTTGTCGCAATTTACGGACGCTCTTAATGTCTTTCATACAAACTTCTAGTAATTAAGAACATGTCAGAAAAAGCCTTAGAGAACATAATCGATCTAAAGTGAAGCTCTGTTGTACATGTGGCAAAAAAAACGTATTCTTACATAGATTAATTTTAAAGGGGAATGCACCTTTCCAATAGACCCTTGGCATTGTTGAAATGAAACTTATACGTTATATAAAGGACTATAATAGAAGTTTGAAGAAGGATAAACGAGGTCTCTAAACCATAAACTAGCCGACTTATAATGGGTTAAAGTTATTGCTATTTTTTTTGTTTAGGTGTTTTTTTGTTTGTAAATGAGATAATTTAGGACTTAGAAATGCGTTCGGGAAACCACTGAATGATCATCCGTTGGTAGAATCGATGATTAACAAAATAAACGCTACTCCTGAAAACAATGGTTATAAAGTTGGCACCCACACTTTAAAAAAAAAAGTAAAATGGTGAAAATTTCGAACTAATTAGGGACAGTTTAGGACTGCAATAAAAAAAAATCCGACCACCCCCCAGTTCGAGATAACCGAAATTTTCAATGTGGGTGCTAACTGTGAATTAATAAGCACCCCCACTGCATTCCAGTTTTTAGAAAACAATGTTTATATGAGTCAAAATTTCGAGCTAATTAAGGACTACTGAGAAATGCAAGAAAAAATTTCGGACCACCCCCTAGTTTAAGATATTCGAAATTTTCGATACGAGCGCAGACTGTGAATCAAGTTAGCACCCCCACTGCATTTCAGTGTTTAGAAAAGAATGTTTATAAATGTCGAAATTTCGAGCTAATTAAGGACTACTGAGAAATGCAAGAAAAAATTTCAGACCACCCCCGAGTTTAAGATATTCGAAATTTTCGATACGGGCGCAGACTGTGAATCAAGTTAGCACCCCCACTGCATTTCAGTGTTTGGAAAAGAATGTTTATATATGTCGAAATTTCGAGCTAATTAAGGACTACTGAGAAATGCAAGAAAAAAATTTCAGACCAAACCCCCGTTTAAGATATTCGAAATTTTCGATATGGGGGCTGACTGTGAATCAAGTTAGCACCCCTACTGCATTTCAGTGTTTAGAAAAGAATGTTTATATACGTCAAAATTTTAAGCTAATTAAGGACTAATGAGAAATGCAAGAAAAGAATTTCAGACCACCCCCCAATTTGGGATGTTCGGAATTTTCGATGCGGGTGCTGACTGTGAATTAAATTTTAGGACTGCAAGAAAATAATTTCAGATCACCCGCTAATTCAAGATATTCGAAATGTTCAATGCGGGTGCTGATTGGGAATTAAGTTCGTACCCCCACTGCATTCCAGTTTTTAGAAAAAAAAATTTATATACGTCAAAATTTCAAACTCATTAAGGACTATTTAGGACTGCAAGAAAAAAATTCAGACCACCCCCCGTTTTAAGATAATCGAAATTTTCGATCCGAGTGCTGACTGTGAATTAAGTCAGCACCCCCATTGCATTCCAGCGTTTAGAAAACAACGTTTATATATTTCAAAATTTTAAACTAAGGACAATTTAGGACTGCAAGAAAATAATTTCAGACCACCCCCTAGTTCGACATATTCGAAATTTTCAATGAGGGTGCTAACTGGGAATTAAGTTAGCACCCCCACTGTGTTTTCATGTTTAAAACACATTGTTTATATACATCAAAATTTCGAGCTAATTAAATACAACAAAATTAACAACATCTCAACCCCGATTTTCAACCCCCTACCCCTTTATCGGCAAAAACATGTATAGAAAGGATAAAATGAAATAGTAATGTCGTTGTTAGTAATTTTCACGGATTGACGGATGGGGGTTGAAATAAAGGGTGGGTTTGAGTTGCACATTACTCTGAAACTCAAAAGTAAGTTGCATTATATTTTTTATTGAAAATGGCATTGCTATTTCATTTTTAAAATCCTTTCTTTTCATGTTTTTGCCGATAAAGGGGTAGAGGGTTGAAAATCGGGGTTGGGATGTTGTTAATTTTGTTGTCCTTAATTAGCTCGAAATTTTGATGTATACAAACAATATGTTTTAAACATTAAAACGCAGTGGGGCTGCTAACTGGGAATTAAGTTGAAAATTTCGAATATCTCGAACTAGGGGGTGGTCGGATTTTTTTTTCTTGCAGTCCTAAATTGTCCTTAATTAGTTCGAAATTTTCACCATTTTACTTTTTTTTTTCGCCAACGGTATGCCAACTTTATAACCATCTGAAAACAACAACTTAGGCGAGTATGTAGTTAACCTAAACCAAATAAGAGCCAATTTCGTGTCAATGACTGCCACCGTGCCTTGTCTTGACAACTTCCCCAGAGTTGATATAAATGATTTATAATAATTCACGCGGTGGCAACGTATCAAATAAGCCAGGCCCGAAGTTATTATGGCGAACATGTGAGGGACGATGGTTCGTACGTCATTGAAGTATATAGGGAGGATAGACTGGATATTACGGATTTACAAATGTTCGGCATTGATGTTGTGAACCCGTGGCTGCTCCGTAGTCGCATTCAGTCACGACATAGGCAACAACGTATATACTTTGCGTATATACTAATAGACGGTGTTAATGAAGGCATAATGGCCATAAAAGGGCAATATTGTTTGTGTATTGCAGGAATGAGGACTTTAGGTTGCTGCGCCCACGTCATGTCTGTACTTTATTTCATAGGCTGGGGAAGACATCAAGAAAACTTGACCTCTCCAGCCGAATTTCTGAATTATATAGTCAGACACGACGTGGAAAATGAAGTTGACATTGTAAGCGAGTAGTAGCAATAAGTAACTTAATGTACTGATTAATAAAACAGATTTAACTAAATACTTTTGTCTATTTCTTTGCACTAAAATATTCCTCAAACACCTATTTACTTTTATCCTTACGTGCAGATTTTTATACTACAGTTATAAAAAGTAAAATACAAAAACATTATAAAGACAACCTAGTAAGCACCGGAGTAAGGCCCAAGTTTGCGGTTGTTAGGGTTGCAGAGCGAGGAATCTTCTCGCAATGCGTGCCGTGCCCGAGGACTGCCTTCTGTACTTAACTGACCCTTGATCCAGCCATCTAGCGAGATTATTATTATTTTAAGACATCATCATCATAGCAGCCGCAGAGCGCCCACTGCTGTCATATTATTTATTATTACATTTTACGTTTTTGGTTTAAATGCCTGATAGAAAACTAACAAGAATAAATTTATTATTTTGGCTAGGTCATACCACACGGCTGGACGCTAAGGAGACCAATTCTGCTAACGTCAAATCATAATGTTGTCTCAATAGTACCTACGTACCTATTCACGGTTCTTGTTACTAGGACTTAAAAACATTAGGTACCATGGAAAAACCACTGATACACCATTATGACTTAACATTAGTAGAATTGGCCCCGATGACTCTTGCTTATCAAGTTCCTTACTACTAGAGTTATTTATTAAATTATTTTGATATTATTTATAACATTTCCATGTCTTATTAAATATTAAAAAAGCCTGATAAAAAACTAACAGCAACAATAATCATAAAAGTTATTTCGGCTAGCTTATGGTTTGGAGACCTCCTTACTCCTTCTTTAAACTTCTATAATAGTCCTCTATATAAGGTCTAAGTTTCATTTCTGGCGAATAGAAAAGAATAACAATGCCAAAAGGGTGCATTGGCCTTTCATAACTCTTTTGATAAATGTTTGCGGAATCCATAACACAAGTACTGTGATATACGCTCTGAACTTATTTGATCAACATATATAATTACATTTGTATCTATACATAGTAATAATCGATTTATCAAAAGCTCAATTTGATTCTGCTCAGCTACAAACGGATCTTGGTGCTGATCTCCCACTCCCAAGATTTCCTCAACGGAGTGTGCACTAACATCGTCCACATGAGCAAGCGACGGCTCAAGTACTACACCGGCAACTACGAAGCTTTCGTCAGGACTCGCATGGAGCTGTTGGAGAACCAGATGAAGCAATACAACTGGGAGCAAGACCAGATCGCTCACATGAAGGTACGTCCAATCATCATTTACGCAAACTGCAAGTTTTATCAGTTTGTATTTAATATTATCTTTATGACATCTATAATTTATTCAGTTATTTTAGTTACTAATAAATCGAATCAGTATTATAAATCGGTGAAACAACAGTCCAATAAGGTTCATATTGCCTAGTTGCTTATGTAATAATATAATCAATATCACCTTTTTTCCTTATTCAGAACTACATTGCGCGGTTCGGTCACGGTTCAGCCAAGTTGGCCCGTCAGGCGCAATCGAAGGAGAAGACACTGGCCAAGATGGTCGCTCAAGGCCTCACGGAGAAAGTGATTGACGACAAGACTCTCAACTTCTACTTCCCCTCCTGCGGTAAGGTGCCGCCGCCCGTCATCATGGTGCAGGTAAGAACAAACGTAATATTTCTGAAATTATAATAGGGTATTTAACAAATTTAAACAACAAGTAAAATCGAGTTAGTGGGCTTTCAGAAACCCGGCTTCCATTGTGGAAAATAAGTAAAATCGAAATACTGTAGCAAAGAAATCGTCAAATAATTACTCCGTAATCACATATCGTCCACAGATTACATAAGTGTTAAAATTCTTTACACAAACTTGACGTCACACAGTGGACGTCATCGAACCGAGCGTTTTGACGGTAAATTCAAAACAATTAAAAATAAATTCAATTTTAATTAGTCTAATGGAGAAAAAAAGACATTAATTATTTTTTATTTTTCTGCAAAATCGTTAGTTCCGATCTTTAAATATAAGCAGTTTTCGAAAATTTGGAAAATACCCTATAATAATAATGTGTTTTTTTTTAAATGGGGAAAAAGACCAAAAAACTCGCGGCACCGTAATCGCGATCTTAGCGCTCCTTTGAATGCAAAAGGTCTTGAGATAGTACCTGACATGCAAATAATTTTAAAATAATTTTCTTTGTTTTTTGTTTAGATTAAGCTAAATTTGTTTTATGAGAAAACTTCTTAAGGTACATTGGCCAATTTTTGAGATAAGTTTTTTTTATTTATTTTTGTTTACATTTAGGAACATCTTCAGGCAAAACAGTTAACGTACCTAAAACATGAACTTGTTTTGTAAAAATATGTAGTGTCAAATATTGGAAAAGTAACAGTTTTCGACTTTTTTTTTTTAATCCTACAAGTTTCCTTGTGTGTAGATTTTGCATAGTTACTATGTTAACATAGAGTTTTTCAACTATAAAATGTTCATTTACAACTCGTGGGGCGCTAAAGTACATATCAGACATTATTATATTCGGAATCGACATTCACAGCTTATTTTTAGTTTAGAAAGGAAAAGTTCTAATGGCAATCCCATAGTAAATTTCTACGATCAAAAATACTGGAATTATACCGGGTGTTGTCGAACTTATGGCATACAGACAAACAGACAAAAATTCTAAAAAACTATATTTTTGGCTTCAGTATCGATTGTAGATCAGACCTCAAGTATTCTTTTAATAAATATTCAATGAACAGTCTTGTCTTTCCTACCATTTTATTATACAGGGTGGCCGGGGAGTTGACATTCAAGCGTAAAATTTAGATACTTTATCATGAGGAGTATCCAAATCATCCCCATGTATGTTCTACGATTTTGCGTAGTTTACGAGTCGTAATTTTTTTAATGATTTTTTTTCCTAATTTTCACCTAACATCAGTTTTCGATTTTTCCTGATTCTGTTGGACGTTTTTTGTTCAGTTATTTTGTGATAACTGACTAACATAGTCTAACCTAGCACCCTAAAACTTGTGGTTTATCTAGGCATTGCAGAATTCAGTTAGAATTTGTTCGAAAGTTCAAAATTACGATTTGAGCACAGTACACACAAATTTTCAAAGCATCAAAAAAAATGTAAACGGAGGGATTTGGAGTTCAAAGTGCTTTTAGAAACTTCCTGAGACATTAAAATTTAAAACAAGGCCAAATAAAGATAGGGTTAATGGGGGTTTATTTTCTGTAACCGACCTTCAAAGTAAATTAGGCATTTTCAAAGGAAAAAAAAAATTTCTTTTATTTTATTTAAATCTTTGACTTTCTATGAGTTATTGGGTGTTTATTTTCTGTAACTGACCTTCAAAGTAAATTAGGCATTTTCAAAGGAAAAAAAAAATAATTCTTTTATTTTATTTAAATCTTTGACTTTCTATGAGTTATGATAGATTTGAATAAAACTCAGTTAATTGTTAACAAAATACATTTATTTAAAGCAAATTTTCAAAATTTCGCCGTCCCTCAGAAATACACAATCTACATCTGCGGAAAAAATTTTTGCTCTCAGTTCTTCTTCACTCGAAGCTTCTCTGGCGTACGCAATTTCTTTAAAATAGCCCCAGATAAAAAAATCTGTAGGGTTGAGGTCAGGCGAGCGTGGTGGCCAGGCAATTGGCTCTTGTCGTCCGATCCACCTGTTGGGGTAGGTTTGGTCTAAATAGCGACGCACTTGTATCGCGTAATGACATGGCGCCCCGTCGTTCTGGAACACCATCGTTCTTCTTAATTCAAGATTTACATCTACCAGTAATATGGGTAGATTGTCTTCTAAAAAACTTTGTATGTGTCGCCGTCTAATCTCGATGGCAGTTCAAATAGGCCTATTAATTCGCCATTCAAAACACCAGACTAAAACGATGTTGAAATGATGATGGTCTGGCGGCATGTGGGTTTTCAACGGCCCAAATGTGCAAATTGTGGATATTGAAAACCCCAGTTCGCTCAAATCTTGACTCGTCGGTCCACAAGATTTTATTTAAGTATCCGGGATCTTCTTCCTCTTTCTGCAACATAGTTATACAGAACTCGACTCCCAATTGATAATCTGAAGGCTGCAACGCTTGTACTTTTTGTATGTGGTAGGTGTGAAATGATTCCTCACGCAAAACATCCTGTATTGAAGATCTTGGTATGTCAAGGTTACGAGCTAATGCTCTCGTACTTGTACTACAATTGCGTTGCACTTCTTCCAGTACGATTTCCCTGCGTTTCTGATCAACCCTCTGAATGCCTTCACCGCCACGTTGGCCAGGAATGCGGCCTGCCATTAACGTATTGTGAGTATTAATGAACACACGATAGTCAGGGTAATGATCAGGTTGCGTTCCGCCTCGGCGTTGAAGTTGATCCCTATAGAGTCTTGCTGCTTCACGACCGTTGCTTTGTGCAAAGCCGTAGAAATAATGCATTTTTGCATATTCACTCAGAGTGTAGGGAGGGCATCACAAACACTTCCAAGTAACTACAGTCCAAATCGTTAGGCACAACGGAATCCAGTAACAAGCAGGGGTCAAACAAGTAAGCAGCGGCGCTATCAGTAGGCAAATAGTGGTCGAGAAAAAACGGCAGAACAAGACGAGTAGTAGTAAACACGACTGAGGGACGGACCGCAGGTGTCCTCATTGTTGGCGTCAACGTCTCACTCAAACCTGTTTCTAATGTTAGGCCCACTTGCATGTAAATCTTGAGATAACAAAATAACTTCGAGTTTACTAACTCAAGTTAATATAATATTTTTTTAACTCAGACTTTATCTTGCACGAACAGAAAATAAACCAAGGTTTAATAACTCAACAGTTTTATTTTGCATGATGGCAATTATTTCACTCAAATTCAAATTCATTCCCTCTTCTAACAACCGGCTAAATACAAAAGAGTGAATGATTAATGAAATAAGTATTATTCTCTCTTTCACACAACAGTATCTTGCGTATGTCTCTTTCGTAATGTCAAATTTGAAAAGACGTGGTGTTTTTGGTCGTTTAAGTTGAATGGCGTCCTGTAATTTGTCTGTCAAATAGGTGTTTGCATACCGATTGCATGGTGTTTTTAAAATATCTATCTATCTCGTAAGTTTATATTTTGTGGCAACAATTACGTGCGGTTTTATTTTGTAAAATGGAGAAGAAAACTCGTTTACGTGCCCCGAATTTTACAAGTAGTGACAGTTTACTTCTATGTGATATTTTATGCAAATATAAACATGTTATTGAAAATAAAAAAACTGACGGCGCTACTCTTCTTCAAAAACAAAAAGCTTGGCAGGATATAATGGAAGAATATAATGCTGTTACTACTGGTCATCATCGCACTGTAGAAAGCTTACAGCAAAATTATAAAAATTTAGAAAAAGAAGACGAAAAAAAGTGCTTCGGATGCTAAAATGGATATTCCAGGTATGTAGATTTGTTTTAATCATAGAAAATCATGGGCCAAACTGCTTCCAAGATCATAATTTAATTTATCATCTTTTTTACAGTCGACAGATTTTTTTTTATAAAAAATGTTGAAGAATATGGCACTTCTTCGGAGGGTTGGGAAAAAGTAGCTGAAGGTAAGCAGGTACTTCTAAAGACAATTGCAAAAAACTGTTTAACACACTGACTAAAGAAGCAGAAACCAAAGAAAGTTTTTAAAAAGAACATCATGGGTACAGGTAAATTATGGATCATAACCTATAAGGATCAATGGTAGGTACTTTCTTGAATTTTTTTTGTTTCATTTGTCATCTATAATTATAGGAGGCGGTCCTCCACCAAAATATGATGATGATCCACTGCTGACTAAAGTTAAAGGCTTGGTCGGCCCGACTATTGACCGGCTATACACAATTTATGACGGAGACAGCAGCTTGATGGCTGTATAAAATCTGTTTCCCATTGAAATTAATAATGGTATTATTGATAATGAAACACCATGCACAAGCGTTAGTGTGGAGACAGGTATGATTTGCTCATTATTTACTGTTATATTTTACCTTATTTTTTTTGACTTTCGTATAATTTTAATTTTGATGTAATTATTTTTAGATGAAAAGCAATATATTGTAATGACTCCAAAAAGCCAAGATCAGTCATCCTATTTTACCAATAACCGGGCAAACTTGATAAAAAAGCCACATAATTTATTAAGTCGTAAGTAGCTATATTTTAATTGGATCACTTGCTTTCTAAACAACACAATTCCAAATATTTTATTTGATGTTCCTACATATTATTTAAGGCTAGTATTTAACTGCAAATCAAAAAAAAAATGTTTTTTATAAATGTAGAAATGCTTAATGGGAAACCTGTTGTAAAAATAGTTATTTTGCTATGAAAATCTATGAAAAATAAAAAATGAAAAAGTATATTTGATATGAAAATCATATTTATGTACAATTAAACAAGTTTTTTGTCGAGCACTAGAGGAAAAAATGTACTATAGATTAGATGTACAGTTTTGAATTATTTTTAGCACTAGTTTTGTTCAACAAATGTTTTGTTTGCAGTAAAATAATTATTTTGATGTAAAAAGTATTTAATGATGTAAATAATTTGATGGGTGATAAGTTTTTTGCTGTGCAATATATTTGATATGAAATTCATATTTCTGTACAATTA